CCCCCCCCCCCTCTCTCTCTCTCTCTCTCTTTCCCTCACTCTTTTGCTTTGGTACATTAATTTCGATGCTGGTTTGGCTTTTTCGTGAGGCACCTGTGAGGTCCGAACCTCAGCCTCGGCTCCCGAACCTAAGCCTCGGTCCTTGAGGATCAAATTTTTCATTTCCCCCTTTTTCCCTATTTTAACCTTTATGCGTAAAAACGGTGCTCTTGGAAGACGGCGTATAGTGCTGCCCGCTGCCCGTTTTAGCTTCTGTGTTGCTTTTTCTCCTGCCCGCGCTTCTATGTGCTTTCAGCGCGTGTTGTACACGCTCTGATATTTTAGATTCCTTTCACCTATCCGACACGGAAATAATAAATAAATAAATAAATAAAATCTGCCAATTATTTCTAATTTCTCGACGAATTATTCAATGAAAATTTAATAAAAATTCGAGAAATTTCCTTTTTTAAATATATTAATAATGAAAAACTATATTAATTAAATAATTTTTTTTTTTAATGTGCTGGGAGGGGAATTATTATTGGGCTTTAATGGGCCAGTATTAATATCCCATGTGGCCCAATTTTAATTATTTCTTTTGCAGATTTTCCGTGCTCTGCTTTTATATAGCAATGTGTTGCAATTATGAGCCTGCTTTTTTAGTATGCATTAAAAAAATTTATATTTTATTATGGCTTTTTTTTTAATATATAATAAATGTATTTAAATTTTAAATTAAATAATTTACTGGACTATGCTCGAATTGGCATAGATATATGAATTCAAGATTCGTAGCAAATTTTAAGATCGGAGGAATAGCTAATTACTTACTAACTATTCGCACGTTTTTGGACAGAAGACTGAATTACGATGATCGAGGATGAGCGTTTTAACCCCGTTTATTGACCTACATGTCGTAGTTGCTGTCACAGAGCTAGCCGTAGCTTCTTTCTCGAGTCCCACGACTGTATATTTTTTTTAATCCATTGATTCTAATAATGGCCATTTATATTTTTTTATTTTCATTAATATTTTATATTCAAATAAAATAGTATTTTTGCATCTAATTGTATTAATTATAATTATCCAAAACAAGAAGGGGATTAATTACACACAAAAAAACAGTTAAAATATATATTTTTTTAATTTATTCCAATTACGTTGAATATTAATAAATTGCTTAATTTTCGTGGAAAACACGCGCGAGTCAGGCGAGTGAGAGCTGATTTTCAACTATTATTTGACAAATTAAAGACGAAAGCGACTGTGGGTCCCAGTCCAACCCAGCATTTTGACCAAACCACCACTGGATATATTATTTTACGCCTCTTCTGTACAGGACATTTTCGTCATTTTATATCCTTCTGCCTTCTATTTTACTCATTCGCAACGTGGCGTTATAATCACCGTTCTTTTATACAGTTTGAGTTGTTTTGTATTCCTCGAACGGCTGCGATGACGCCACGAGGACTGAGGTTATTTCATGTAGGACCCACTGTGGAATTATAAAAATAAAGTTAATTGTTTTTTTCTTTCTATTTTATTTTAGGGTCAAATCGTAGAACTGACTAAAATATTTATTTTCCAATAAATATTTAATTTGTTTTAATTAATATTTGTTATAATTTTAATTCCTGTAATCCACAAAGTCGTACACTATACCTTTGAAAAGTCTTCGTAATAAAATAAAAAAGGGTTAAGAAATTATATTTTAATCTTAATTTTAATTTTTATACTTTTAATAAATCTTAAAGCTTTTATTTTTATTAAAAATTAATTCTATTGCCATTTTATCTATAAAATATATTTACATAAAATAATTTCTATAATGAAATTTATTATTATTATTATTATTATTATTTAACAAAAAAAAATTAACGTTTATTAAAAATACCTGGCTAAAATTTAAAATTTATTATAATAAAAATAAATAAAATTTTTATGCCTAAAATACCAATAAACTAAATACTGAATAAATAAATAAATAAATAAATATATATATATATATATATATATATATATATATATATGGATATATATCATATTTAAATTTTAAAATTTAAACTCAAACGTTGATAACTATATAAACAAGTTTCGAAGTTTGGTTAAATAACAAGAACAGAGTCACAGCCTTTTAAAGCTCGAGGAATTAAATTGATTCTAAATTATAAGCAGTGTGGTTGAAATTTAACAAAAAAAAAAAAACGTTTTAATGCACTTATCTAATGCAGATAGATCCGCATCAAGTCGAGTTGGTATACTCGAAGTTGGCAAGACCATGTTCGGGTTCCTAGCAAAAGTGGGCCCAATCGATGTGCTATGACGGTTTGCATGGTTTTACGAGCATCAAACCATCTAAAAGTCACGACCGAAACTATTTATATACCGTTTATAAATTAAAGTATTAACGATTAATTTTTTTAATATTTTTCTAAAATCTTATGATATTAAATTGGACAATTGTTTTTTCTTATTATTATTTTTTAAAAAAATATTAAAGATTTTTTTTTTATATTATGAAAGGAGTTATTTGTTAACTAAAGTTTAATATATATATATATATATTTTTTTTTTTTAATATTATTTAAATTTTTTTAAAAGTTAGAAGGTTATTTTTACTCCGCGCGACATGACCGGTAGCATTTGCTTCTTCGTCTTCATCCATGGAGAAGCTGAAGAAGTCGGCGATCAGAATCGCCTACGGAAGGGACCACGCTAAGCTCTCTTCTCTGCAACGCCTTCTCATCCCCTTCCTCTACTTGGCGTCTGCTCTCTACAAGCTCCGTGATCACTTCTACCTCTACGGCGTATTTTGCAAGTACTGGTAAGAGTTGGATCTCATTTGAACTGTTTGATTATCGCTTCTTATTGTTTTTATTGTTCGAACGTTAGGAGTAGGATTTACAAGATCATAGTGAACAAATTTGGTTGAATACGCGGCCAATTCCTGGTCTGGATGTTGTTTTCTGTTCGGTTTCTTAGTGGCATTGAAAGATTTTTTGGAATCTGGGAGCACGATTGAGTTGCTCGAGCCCTAGATTGTTTGTTTTTGCAATTATTTTGTTTCATAAGTGAAGATAAGCTCGGGATCGATGCAATGGATTGAATTAAGTTTTGTTTTTCAGTTATTGAATTGCAATGGCCTGGGATTTGTTGATGTTTATTGTATTGTTGTAGTTCGTATTGACATCTGTTGACATGAATGCTGTCAGTTCCATGGAATTTGACTTTGGGAGGCCGGTTACGTATCGCTGTCAGCCTCACGGTTTTAAACGCGTTTGTTAGGGTTAGGTTTCCACACCTTTACAAGAAATGCTTCATTCTCCTCTCCAACCAACGTGAGATCTCACAATTCAACTCTCTTGAGGATCAACGTCCTTGCTAGCACACTGTTGGGTATCTGATTTATATACCATTTATAACAGTCTAAGCCTACGGCTAATAGATATTGCTGTCAGTCTTATGGTTTTAAAACGCGTCTTTCGTAGTTAAGTAGCGGAACCGGTACTCATCCAGTTACTATCCTCTTTGGGCTTTTTCTTCCTGACTTCTTCTCGAAGTTTATGGACTTTCCCTTATGGGTTTCTCCATTACAGGTCTATTAGAGAAAGGTTTCCACACCTTTACAAGGAATGCTTAGTTCCCCTCTCCGATAGACGTGTTATCTCACTTGTTATAATCTCCCAAGATCTTGATTGAATATCCTATTTTAACATAACAATCAACGGCATCTAGCGAAGATAGTGAAGTAAGCAGCCAATTTAGTCTTGGTGATGCTTCAAGAATTCGTTGTTTGATAACTGTTCATAACTTTATAGTATCCTAAGAATTTAGTTGATGATCCTTTTGGTTTGAATTCCTGCCAGGGTTATGGTGGTGGGGATGAAGCCAAAATGCTTATAAGGCTTCTTGCTGGGAGTCCCATTAAAGTATGCATTGGAGCAGACAGGAGAGCTTCTGCTGCTTGAACAAGTAGGTAATCTTCCCAAGTCCGAAAAAATTAGTGCTGTTATTCTTGATGATAGAATGCAATTACATCATCTTATGACTCTTAGTTGTTAATAATACTTTTACGGTGGGTCCATGAGTTTTGTATAAAATGTAACGGCCCATATCCACCACGAACAGATGTTGTCCTCTTTGAGCTTTCTCTTTCGGGCTTCCCCTTAAGGCTTTAAAACACGTCTGGTAGAGAAAGGTTTTCACACCCTTATAAATGGTGGTTTGTTCTCCTCCCCAACCAATATGGGACATCACAATGCATAGGATAGTTGTTTTCCATTCATAGTATAGGTTGAATTTCCGTTTGCATCATTAGTATAGGTTAGTATAGGTTGAATTCCCATTTGCATCATTAGTATAGATTAGTATAGGTTGAATTCCCGTTTGCATCATTAGTATAGGTTAGTATAAGTTGAATTGTAATTGCATTAATAAATCATAGGTTAATATAGAACATTTATTTCAGAGTTGTTTTTCGTTTCTTTCCCTTGTATTTGTTATTCATGAGGTAATAAAAGACAAACTTATGTCACATTTATGATAAGAGCCATTAAAGTAAATTCCGCGTTAGTAATGACCTTAGATTAAATAAGTAAAAATTTAGAGTCGTTGCAAATGGTATCAGAGTCAAACATCGGACGATGTGCCAACCTTCTCGCTGTTCCCCGAAGAGGGTAGACACGAGGCGGTGTGCCAGTAAGGACGCTGGGCCCAAAAGGGGGGTGGATTTAAGGACGGTCCCATATCGATTGGAGGAAGGAAAGAGTGCTAGCGAGGATGCTGGGCCCCAAAGGGGGGTGGATTGTGATGTCCCACATTGGTTAGGGAGGAGAACAAACCAATCATTTATAAGGGTGTGGAAACCTTCCCCTACCATACGCGTTTTAAAGCCTTGAGGGGAAGTGATATGATAAGGAATCAATACAAGGGGAATAAGATTCGGATTACCTTGTTGATCGAATATCTCATGGCAAGAACACTTGATTGAGATTCGAATCACTCCACAAGCAAGATCGATCATGTCTAGCTTGAATGATTCTTGTTGATCAAATATCTCAACGTGAGAACACTTGATTGAGATTCGAATCACTCCACAAGCAAGATTGATCATGTCGAGCTTGAATGATTCTACATGCAACCTAAACTACATAGAATTGCAAAGAAACTTAGTCATTGGCTAAAGAAGAGCACAAATGCTTCTTTTACTATATTTTCCAAGTCTACTTACAAATACAACAAACATGGCTTTATATAGCCTCAAAATGAAACTGAAACTAACTACAAGGGGGTAAGATTCGGATTACCTTGTTGATCGAATATCTCAAGCCAAGAACACTTTGTTTGAGATTCGAATCACTCCAGAAGCAAGATCGATCATGTCTAGCTTCAATGATTCTTGTTGATCAAATATCTCAAGACAAGAACACTTGATTGAGATTCGAATCACTCCACAAGCAAGATTGATCATGTCGAACTTGAATGATTCTACATGCAACCTAAACTACATAGAGTTGCAAAGAAACTTAGCCATTGGCTAAAGAAAAGCACAAATGCTTCTTTTACTATATTTTCCAAATCTACTTTCAAATACAACAATGTCTTTATATAGCCTCAAAATGAAACTGAAACTATTAAAGACATTCCAAGAGTTGTAACATTCATACTTAATGGTCATAATTAACCAGTATGTAATTGTAACCTAATGTAAATAAAAACCTCTTAAATACATTAATAAAATACAATAACTCTAAATTGTAATCCACCCAAAATTTATAACATGAAACTTCATTCTTCTTCAATGTAGCATGAATTTAAATATCTTTTGATAATTTCAACAATATTTTCTTCACATCTTCATTAAAGCATATTGTATGATTGATGTCTCTTGGTTCATATCAAGAAGCCCGAAAGGAAAAAGCCTAAAAATGACAATATCTGCTAGCGATGTATCTGGGCCGTTACAGAAAAAGTGTAACAGCAAGAAATGTAGAATTAGTAGTATGGATAGATCATCGGGCGCTTACAAGACGGATTGATTTCTTATTAGGTTTTTATGTTGAGATTTTTTGAAAGTGGGTTTGTGCTACAGATTATTGACTGTGCACCATGACTTGGAGATCGTTGTGTTCAATGGGATAACATTATGGGGGAAATTATTACCAGTTGGACCTTTAAGAGAACCATAAGCTGTACTCAAGATAGCTGACACTGCCATTATTCATCATGCAAATATGGTAAAGAATGTGTTTGGGAACATTTTCTAACAGTTTAGTGTCATGGGTTTCTGCCATTGGCTCTGCTGCTGATGCTTTTGAGTAGACAATGCATTTCTGTCATCTTATCCATTTTGTACAGTATTGTTCTCATTTGTCATTGGAAAATTATTTGCGGCAGATAGGAGCATATCAGGTTGATCGACTTGACTCGACTGAACTCGACTTTTGCAATGACCATCACGATTGTAGCATAACATGTTGATCGACTCAACTTGACTTCTTCAGTGACCATCACGATAGGAGCATATCAGGTTGATCGGCTTGACTCGACTCAACTCGACTTCTTTAGTGACCATCACAATAAGAGCATGTCATGTTGATCGATCTCACTCAACTTGACTTCTTCAGTGACCATACGATAGGAGCACATCAGGTTGATCGACTTGACTCGACTCAACTTGACTTCTTCAGTAACCATCACGATAGGAGCATATCATATTGATCGATTTCACTCAACTTGACTTCTTTAGTGACCATCATGATAGGAGCATATCATGTTGATCGACTCGACTTCAGGGACCAATCACGTGTATCAAGACAGGGTAACTATTCTTCTGCTGCAAGTCTGAAAGATCATGTCACCTCCACAAACACTCCCAATTACTTGTTTAGAATTTTCCAAAATTACTTGTTTGCCCTCGTTATGATATCAAATGGAACCTAAGGTATACACTCTCAGTTTAGAGGTCGAGAGATTCAAATTTTTAATTAAGGAAATAAAAATAAAAGATAAAAGAAAAAGTTTTGTAATTCATATTAATAAAATTGAATGATAAATTATTCATGTTCAATTATTGATCATCACATCTGTTTCATCTAATATGAGTTGTTATGTTAACCAATTATCGAGTTAAAATTAGTTTTTATTTCAATAAATATTTCAAATCAAAATTTTGAAAAATTAAAAAAATAAATAAAAATAAATTAATAATATAGATAAATAGTAACAAACGTTTCAACAATGCGGGGATAGCTCAGTTGGGAGAGCGTCAGACTGAAGATCTGAAGGTCGCTTGTTCGATCCACGCTCACCGCATATTTTTCATTATTGTTTGTTTTAACGACAGGTGTCCGTCTTTTTAATGTGATTTTATTTGGTTGAATGTAAACAGTAACGCAGGTACCAACAACGCGGAGATAGCTCAGTTGGGAGAGCGTCAGGCTGAAAATCTGAAGGGCACATGTTCAATCCACGCTCACCACATCATTTTTCGTGAAATAGGCCCAAATTCAGAGGAGCCCATTAAAATGGACGGACACGTGTCGTTAAAACAGAACAAAAACAAACGATAATGAAAATTTCTGCGGTGAGCGTGGATCGAACACGCGATCTTCAGACGCTCTCCCAACTGAGCTATCCCCACGTTGCTGTTCATTTATTTTACTGTTAATTACAAATTATAATATAATATTATTTTAAACCGAAATAGATGTTATGTATTGATAACTTAATATAAATCCAATTTTTCATTTAATTCTGTTACAAATTATAATTTACAGAAGTTTATATCTTTTTATTTATTATTTTTTTATTTGAATCATTTACCTTTTAATCTGAAATATATGTCTTTACACTCCCTTTGAGATTGGAGCGAGAGCACACAAAGTTGGAGTGTTTATGTAACCCAAAACCTAAACAATTACTCGGGCTATCCAACTTAGAATATAAGGGTTGAACTATGTTATAATTTTTTTTTTTCAATTTAGGTTATGTTGAATTCTTAAAACCCATAATTTAGTTCTGTTCACGGGCAGTTAAAAAAAATTATTATAATAACCTAAAAAAAAAAAAGTGTGTATATATAGTTAAAATAAAACAACAACGATGGTCAACTTTTAATGTAAAAGGTTGTTGAGAAAAATCTATTATTGTAATTTTAAATAAATTCCATAATAGAAATATTGCTGTAATTTATAAGAAATTTAACATTTTATACTTAAATTTAGTACCATATTATAATTCCAATTTTTGTTAACAACTTATTTATTTATAAATTTTGCCTTTTATCATAATTATAAAACAAAAAACAATATATATATATATATATATATATATATATATATATATATATATATTAAATGTATTTATTTATACTAATAAATAAAGACAGCGCAAATAATAATATAGTTGTATTATTCATTTACAGTTATTATTGTTATTATTTATATATCCATTAAGAGCACAATTTCCAATGAATCTGGGCTCCTTAAGGCCTGGAGTCGCTTGCTTGTAGGCCCAAATTCACGTATAATGAAATGAAAGCCCATTAAAAAAGGACGGACACGTGTCGTTAAACAGAAAACAAACGATATTGATGAAAAGTTGTGCGGTGAGCGTGGATCGAACACGCGACCTTCAGATCTTCAGTCTGACGCTCTCCCAACTGAGCTATCCCCGCGTTGTTGGTATTTGCGTTACTGTTTAATTTAATCAAATTAAATCACATTAAAAAGACGGACACGTGTCGATAAAACAGAAAACTAAGAATAATGAAAATGTATGCGGTGAGCGTGGATCGAACACGCGACCTTCAGATCTTCAGTCTGACGCTCTCCCAACTGAGCTATCCCCGCTATGATGTTTATCATGGTACTTTATTGTAAGATCATTAATATTTGTTTAAAAAATAAAATTTAAAAAGCATAAAGATACTACAATTATATTTTATTTTTTTTATATATAAAATTGAAAGGTATTAATGTTAATTTTAAAAAATTATATGTATTTTTTTATTTTTTATTTTTATTGAAAGTTTATGGTTATTATGAAAATTTGAAAAATATATCATTTCTTTTTGTTGGACGACGAAAGTCCTACATTGGCTAATGTTGGGAATGAGAATGACAATGATAGTGCGGATTTATAATCAGAGAATACTCTTTCCATTGGGATGAGGCCTTTCGAGGAAGCTCAAGGCAAAGCCATGAGAGCTTATGCTCAAAGTGGACAATATCATACCATTGTGGAGAATCGTTTTCGTTTAACATGGAATTAGAGTCATGCCCTAAACTTAGTCGTGTCAATAGATTGGTAAATTATATCGAACAAAGGACTTCAAAGGAAAAGGAGTCAAGTCTATTCGAAGGCAGTAAAAAATGACTAAGACTCCAAAGGAGTTGAGCCTCGATTAAGGGGAGACGCACTTTGTTCGAGGGGAGGTGTTGGATGAATCCCACATAGGCTAATTTAGGGAATGAGAATGATCATGAGTTTATAATCAGAATACTCTCTGCATTGATATGAGGTCTTTTGGGGAGCTCAAACCAAAGTCATGAGAGCTTATACTGAAAGTGGACAATATCATATATTCGTTTAACACTTTTCACCCAAATGGCGAAAGAATGGAGAGAATCCAATCCCCAATCCCTATTCTGAGCACCACAATTCACGATTCAGAAGCACCGATGAGTACAAAAACAGCAAAGAAGAATGAGATTTCCTTACAGAACGCGAAGAATTCAATCAATGGCTTCACCTTCAAGTTCCGTTGCGCTCCGTTTCTTCCTCTTCCACCGAATCTCTCCCGGTCTCTGTCATCAGATCAGTACGATTTCGTAATAAACTCCGGCAGAATGAGATTCACTATCAAATACGCAGCCAGAAGCACGCCGCTCCATAAATTGCAAATAGAAGATGAAATTTCAAGAGATTAATCTTGGATCGGTTCTTGATTAATTTGTGCATCGGTTTGAATCTGAACAAAAAAGAAATTGTCAAAACCTATCTCGATGTTCGCGAGAATTAGAGAAGATGGAATTGCATTGGCTTTTGGCGGATCGAATCGAATCAATGGCTCTATGGAGAAATGTAAATCTGGCGGAAGAAATGGGTTGAGGACTAATATCAAGGGGTAGATGTTCTCTGCTCCCCTTCTTCTAAAATTTTCTTCTTGAACCGGGACTAGAGGCTCGAGCATACATCGCTTGGCCGTAGGCGACGCAAGATTGAATAGGGCGGTTATTGTTTCCTTACATTCCCCTATAACCCAAATTTCAATTTCTCAAATATGGCTTTCAAAACTTTGTTTCGAAATCTCTCTGTTCTCGTTTTTCTAAAACTTTCTTCTTGAATCGGAGCCAGAGGCTCGAGTATACGTCACTTGGCCGTAGGTGACACAAGAACGAATAGGCTTAACTCACTTGTTGCTTGAAAGTGAGTGCCGCACATTCGCAAATCCGATCAAATTGCAATTTACAAAGAAAATTGGTAATTTAACCGAACTAAAAAATTCTCCCAACCCAACCCTCTATTTTCGGATTCAACTATCGGGTTATTAACTTATAAACACAAATAAACTTATAGTCATTCAAGAAAACAAATTTATCAACAACAACTAAATAAAATTGTAACACCTTAACATAATTCAACGTTACCAACTAAAAACAATTAAATACTGTCGTCGCTTCTTGAAATTGGTTACTTTAATAAATATAATTCAACATTGCCATAAAACTAGAGACAATCACTTCTTGAAAATTGGTTACTTGAAAACATAATTCAACATTGCCATAGAATTAAGATAATTTCTTGAAAATTGATTACTCGTTCATAATTGAAAATTTTATAGAACTAAAAAGACAACTAAAGACAAACCAGTTTTGTTTATATTTAATTTATAAAAAAAAATGATTTTCATGATTTTTGTAATACTTCAAATTAAAATTTTAAATTAAAAAAAGCAATATTGTTATAAAACATGTTTTTATTTAAAAAAAATAAAGAAGAAATAATTAGAAATAAGAAACCATGGTCAACACAATTACAGTTTTTTTTATTAAACAAAAAAAAAACATTAATAAACTTTTAATGACTCATTTAATTTATTAAAAAAAAACGGATTTTAAAATAACTGTTATAATCAGATATTCGAAAATGGAACAAAAAAAAAAAATTATATATGGAAAATTAGGCTTCTGTTTCCAAGTTAGGTCAGGGAATCTTTTATTTCCATACTGTATTCATTGGAATATTCTCCTCATAATTTACTAAATTACCCCCAAAATTAGGTAAAAGGTTGAATTCAAAATAGGACAATACAAGAGGGGCAAATTGGTCAAACCCTGAAAAACTCTGAAAACGACTTCCCCTGCGAACAGTGGGGTCAGTAAAACGGGGCGTTTTAAATAAATTAAATTAAAAATAGTCAAACGAGCACCTTCTTTCACCTCCCCTTGACTTTTCGCCTATAGTCCAATTAAAAGATGACACGTGTATAAATGTCACTGAACTTGTCCGTAGCCTGTAATAGCCTCGCGCCTTCCAAATCATGGGGGTAAAGGAGGCAAATCGGAACGTGGTAGAACAATCGTTTTCCTTCCCCTTTCCATCTTCCTCCGCTTGCTGTCTCTCTTTGAAGCCGTTCCCGGTTGATCTTCCACGAGTTTCTCCGGTCTCTGTTGTTCTGGTAAGCGCTTTCAACGTGTATGTTTTTGTTCTTGTTTGTTTGATTTCAGTTCTCCTTTGGTTGCTGAGATGTTTGTCTAGGGAATCTGTTTTCTGTGATCTTTGTTTTGAATGTATGTTGTTTTTCTTTTTCTGTTTGTGCGTTTTTCATTTTGGCCTCTCGTGATGTCTGCATTTTATTTGCATGTTCCTTTCTGGATGTGTTCTGAATCGTGAAAGAATGCACTTATGTGGATTTTCTTACTGTGACTTGGTCGGTGCTCTGATTTTCGTTTTACTTGCTTGAATAGAAGCTGAGAAAATGAGTTTTGGAGTCGTAAGGCGACGTATTGCGTCTGGAGGCTCTAATCTGGTAAGTTCAGAGCGTTCTATCCATTTTCTTCAGGATACATGATGAATATAGGATTTGTACCGGTAGGCAGGACTTGTCTGATTCTGTAGTGCTTTCATTTCAGTTTTCGGCGCAGTATTTGCGGGGAATTCGACCTTCCATTTCTGCAGGAAGAGTTCGCTCCGTTGCCGAAAAAGAGGTAGTTGCGTTTTCTGAAGTTTTTGTCTCTTTGTTTGCTTTGTTTGGAGGTAGTTTCTAATTTTGGCTTGATGTATTTTCATAATGCACGAATGACCTCTTATACGCTATAGGTATTTGCTATGTATCTCTTTGTTCTTCCTTACACCTCTCTGTGAAATGAAATGAAAGTTAAAAGCGATGTTATTTGATTATTTTCGTGCAATAATCTATTCACGAATCGTACTGCCTTGTTTTTTTTCATTCCGCATTTAGATTTTGCACCAGTGTAGGAGCTTTGGACATGTCAGAAATTTTTCTCACCTACTTTCACATGGTAATTTTGATTGCGGCCTCTCTTTATATTTGTTTAAGCTCCTACCTAGTTTAAATATACGTTCTCCTTTGATTGATTGATACCCCTACGTTGCAGGTGGCCTTGCTAGTCCTCAATCTCTAAGGTCAGTTACCAATATACAACTTCGCGTATGTGGCCCTTGTTTACTTTTGACCTTGAGGCAAAATTTTATTTTTCTTTTCCTCCTATTTCTTGGTGAATGGTGTTTGCCATCATTTGTGATTGTGTATTCTTCATTTTCATGAATGTGTTTACAGACCAATTTACCATTCCTTGGCATGTTTGACACATGTCTTGACTCAGAAATGGGGTCTCATCGTGTATCTAGCCTTATGTTCTGCTTTTCTGAGGTCCATCTATCTATCACACTATCTATACATGGGTTAGGCTGACATGTATTGTGAATAAGATTTTTCTAAATAATTAAAAAAAATTAACAACTCGATGACAAAACCCAATCTGAAAAATAGAGGGGTGGGGTTGTGAATCCTATTCGAGTCATTTGGGTCACCAACTTGAGCAACTAGTCCAAAAATTTTCTCCAACCTATCCATGTATACCCCTATTCTTATGACAGGTAGTGATGGGAATTCATCCTCTATTTTGATTTCTCTTGGGTCTTTGATATCTCAATGGCAATGATGAATTTTAAGTTGTTTCTGGATTGGATTTGAGATTCTTGCTATCAATGTGAATCCAACTCTTTTTTTTTTTTTTTTTGTTAAATTTTAAAATATTATGAGCATTGTGAAACCCCATTCAACCTGAAACTTGACTTCCATCAAAAGGAAGAAAAAAACTGAACAGAGAATTAGCAATTGAACTTATGATATTAATTTAGTTTGGCACGGGTAGTTGGTCAATAGCCAATTTTAGCATTAAGACATTATATATCTACTATAGGAGTTGGTCATTTGACTGGTAGATCTTTTGTTACTTGTTATAATTACCATTACAATGTTGCTTTTCTCATTGAAACGAAGTTTCTGCGGAATATGGGACACGTGTAGAATACTTTTCAACTTTTTTTTTTTCCCCTTTTAATAACAACTTTTCATTAGTTCTTTTGCTTCTGCCCCCTTTGGTTTTAATTTTTATATGGTGATCAGGGTTGCTTTTGCAAGTATGCAGCAAAGTTCTATGATGCAATTGAATGGTCGGAACTTCTCTTCAGATAATGGTGCGACATCACTTTTTTTTCTTAATTATTTTTGCTTGTGTTTCTTCTTGAACATTTGCTGGGTGTTAGTTGGACTGTGTTTACCTGATGTTGGTTATCACGCTAGCAACATTAGGGTTCTTTATAATGACACTAATTGGAGATCCCTTATGCAATCTCCATTGGTTTCCTCTCCTTCATTTCATATTGTCAATGTAAAGTATAGTTACTTTTCACATAAACAGAGGGAGAAAATTAAAATTACCCCATCTTTCTTCCAACCAACATTCATAACAAAAAATGATTTTTTCTTTGTTGGGGGGAGGTGACTGTGAATAGATTTTTTATGATAAAATTTAATAAAGTTGACCATTAATGATCAGCTTCCCTCTTTCTGTTGTTGTGAGTCTCAAGTGTGTAGCCTGCGTGTTTAAGTTGTTGCATGAAGGCTTAAAATGCCAATACAGTTTAAACTTTGTTAAACTGACATCACTTAGAGAAATTGGAATTATTTCATTTACTCTTCCATCAGATTTTGCATTAAGTTTACTTGCTATAGGAGT